AAAAAACCTACTTTTTTGTATTTTCATTAAATTCTACCTCATTTTCTATTATTTATTATTGGTATTAACCTATGTTATCAAAATCAGACTAGTCCTATAACACTGTAAGTTGTGATAGTGTTATATTATTCCTAGTTATTTTATATTGTTGAGTGAGTTGTTAATTCATGTTGAGAGGCTCGGAGGTCAGAGAATCGCTTCAAAATTTCAGTGATGTTGAGAGGGAAATTTCTTATTGGGTAGAGATATAGTTCGACCTCGAAGTAAAAAATATATGAGATTTTTGTTTGAATAAAGTCTCATAAACTCATTTCTCTTAAAAGTCTAGAGAGAGGATTCTAGAGAAAATGTCTCTAGTCCATGAGCTCTTTTTCTCTCAATCTTCCACTCTTCTTCTTCCAATCTTTTGTTAAGCTGTGTTGTTGTGATTTAGGGGACGGAAACCTTGAATCAAGTCATTGATTCCGTCTTGAAGCCTCGATCTTTCTTTTCTTCTACCTTGGATTTGAGCGACCCAAGGTAAGGGAAGCTAGATTTGGCTATTTCCTTGTTGTATGATGGAGTTGTTGGGTGATGTTGGTACTGAACATGGTTTGGATTTTTAATTTCTATGGCTAAGTTGATTGAATATTTGGTGAAGAGATATGTGAAGGTTGGGGTTGAAGTGCATGAGGAAGAATATGATGATTTGATTTAAGTTGTTGTTGCATGTTACTTTTTGTGCATAAATGAGTTGTTTGTGTTGAGTAGAGATATTATTCCTGGTTGCATGTGTTGGATTTCTTCTGAATTGTAGGTTGTGGCTTAAAATGGGTTCTGCATATGCAAAATTTTGATGTCGTGTTGGACGTGTCTTCAAGGTGCCGGGCATTGTTCTAGCTAGAGGCTCTTTGTCTTGATCACGCAGGCATGAGGAGAAGGACTTGTCTCGAGTTGAAACTGTGTCAAACGTGGTCGAATGGTGTTGAGCGTGGGAACCCTAAGAGCTCTCTAACTTAGTGACCCTAGGTCCAAAGTTGAGTGGCACCCAACGTGGTTAAGCCAAAGCTCTCTGTCTGGATTTCACTAGGCATCGATGTGGTGACATCGGGGGAGAGTCAAGTAGAGACTATTTATCTAAGATGGGGCCAAACATGGTGGATTATCAAGTCAGATGCGAGGTCTTAGGGGCCTCTATCTTAGACACACTGAACGCAGATTGTGTAGCGTTGGGTGTGGACAAGGTAGAGAAGTCCTTACTTGGATGGCACCAGGTGTGTAACGCCAAGCACTGGTTGCTTAATAAAAACATGTTGATGTAGTTGGTGAAGTGTTGAGTGTTTGTTGTTTTAGTTGTTGAATGAAAATATGACAAAGGAGTTGCAGAAATGAAGTAGTATGGGATGGTTGTGTTATGAGTTTCCATTTAAGAAGTAAAAATGAGTTGTAAGTTGAGTGTTGATAGAGTTGTATGTTGATTGTGTAGTTATGTTGAATACATATGTTGTGTTGTCGAGATGTTTGTTGATTAAAGAGTTGAATATGAGTTGTGAGTTGTGTGTTGATTTTGTTGTTGTGTTGATTCTATAAAGAGCTACTGTGTTGTTGAGTTATGTTGACACCTTAGAACTAGAGGAAAGGCTTTCAAAAGTTGCATATCTCATTATGTGAATATTATGTTGTGGTTGTTAGTTGTCAATTTTACTCGAATTTCACAAATATTATTGAGTAAAATGGCATGCTTTCATTTTTTTCCCTTATAAATTGCCCAAGGATGTGAATATTATATATAGATATGTAAACTATATCATACTCCAATCCAAACAAATTATAGTATTTTGGTTAATTATGGTGGTTTTGCTTTGTAGGTTAAGAGAAGATAAATTAAGACAGAGAAAAGAATTGAAGTTCGAAAAGATTTATGGAAGAAAATATATTTATCTCTATTAGATTTTCCACTACTAATAGTTGTGTCATACAACCAAGACAGATTATTACAAAATAAACTAGTTTGACCTGTCGAATTGGGAATTGATCGGTCAACCAATCTTAAAAAATCATAAAAATGATGTGTAAAAAAGAATTGGTCAAAAAAATCAAATAAATTGGCTCAAAATTATATTGTATCAGTATTTTTTAAATTTTTTTTTATTTTCTAAAATTTTTAAAAATATATTTATAATAAATATATATAAATTAAAATAAATTATGTTAACAACAGAGATATAATGATGGAAACCCAAAATTCAGCAGGTATTACTATTTAAAATAAAAAATAGAGATTGGCAGATTAATCTACTGCCTCCCTCTCCCAGAGCACCGGCTCTAATTACAATCCAATAAAATGTTTGCAATAATTGCCCTCTCTAAAGCTACTTGGTATTCATTATCATCCCCCTCAACTAACTCCCTAAAATTGATAAAAGAATATAATTCCTAAAGATAAGCTATGATAAAAAAAAAAAATCAGATAACATAATCCTAAATTAAATCCTAAAGATAAGCTATGATAACCGAATTCAAATGATAAATCCTAACTAAAAATAAGCTGTGAAAATAAATTCAAATAACATAATCCTAAAGATAAACTATGATAACATAATTCAAATGACATAATCATAAACTATATTGGCTACTTTGAATTGGGTTCTATCATATAACCAAATGCTTGTTTTTATGCTAATATACTAGGTCATGTACTTGTGCTGTATAACTACTACATACCCAGCCTAATAACACTCCTAACATAGTTAGACTCGTAATATTCTATGAAGGCATAAAGCTGAAGCTTACTAAGCTCTTAGCTTGTTACAAATAAACACATTTAACAAGGAAAATGATTAAAAAAATAATTTGAGTCCATAAACCTGATAGCTGGAGAGACGACAGAACAAAATGACGCATCCCAATAACTGTTGACTGTAGGAGTCAGAGATAACAAAATAAGCATTGCCATGGAAATGTAACATAAAAAGAATGATGGCTGGAATGATGCACAATCAGAAGACATGGTTGGACTGTTGCATGGCCAAGGAGAAGAGACATTGCTAGAAAGATGCACGAGAGAAAGCACCATTAGAAATATTCATAGTGAGCCTCCTATCATATGCGCAGGCGCAGGCCCATACTTTTTCAAAATTATCAAAATCTTTGGAAAACATGTACAAAATGGGAAGAATTGATCTGTCTAGAATGGGCTTGAAAATGACTGATAAAACTCAATCAACAGCCCTACCAGAGCCAAAGTTAAACAGTCATACAGTGCAATGAACATGGCAAGTAGAAGCAAGAGTAGGAACAAACAGAATATGTCAATTCAAGCAGGAACATAAACAAAAAGACCAAACAGAGCCAAACTGATAGGAATGCAAACAAACAGGGATGGAACAGAATAACCCATGCAGCAGAAGGTCCAAATGGACAGAAACAGAGCCAAAGAGCACTACACACAACAGAGACAAGGTCAAACAGCCTCTTGGAGTGGTGGAACCACACAAATGGGCTGTGGTAGACCAGGATACACAAGACAAGCCGATCTATGGATGGAGGGATTTACTGAAAAGGTGGACTGGTGCACAGTTTCACACCAGAACATTGTAGGGGCAACAGAGACGGGTGGCAAGCATGGATGGAATGATCAACCTAAAAATAGCCCCCAAGATGGATAACTTTGAATCCAATGATGGGGTTAGCTTGTTGATTTGACAATGGGAAGGGCAATATCTAGAGACAGCGGCAGCACTGGCCAGGAAAAACGTGCTGGAAAAGTGACACAGCCAAGGAAATGTGAAGCAGAGTGAGAGAAGAGGATATCAAACAAAGGAGTTCAATATTTTGGGGGGAACTCCAAAGCAAATAATGACAGGATCATGTAACAGTACAGTTTACAACCTTACCCTACAATGAGAATTCTTGATAGTTGGTTACAGGAATATTATTACCACACCTATATTCAAACAGTCAAATGCTTACAACCAAATTAAATGAAAATAAACTGTAAGCTGGCCACTAGACCTCTAAATGCAAAATTTACATAATGTCAGAATTTGAAGTTCTATATTGTACCTTTAAGTTAATCCATGCATATGGCAATCCAGTAGGCGTATTGAATGCAGGTAGAAAGCGTTTCCCTAAATCTTCAGCCAGAAGTAGCAGCTGATTCTCGTAAGCTCCTTGAAACAATTTCTTTGAAGAATCAGATGCAAGTAAGTGAGCAGAGACAAGTCCTCCAAGAACTCTTATGTTGCACTGGATGATTACAATCAAGTGATAAGGAAAACACATTATTGCACTTCAGAATTCAAGTGTTTAGAGTAAATATTTATCAGTATCATTTAGAAATTAAAGCAACCGCCTTTTCAAATCTAGAGTAATCTGGCATCGTAATAAACAAAGCTTTAGATACAATAACTTCATCCAAATCCAATATTTACCTCAAAAAGATTTATGCGTGCATCAACATCAAATGTTAGATTTTCCGAAAGCCACAGCACCGCCCTCTCAAATTCAGTGTTATTGCCCATAATAACAAGGCTAAAGGCGCAGAAACAATATGCATCAGTTTCCAGTTCAACAATATACACATGATGCACCCATCAGAAAAAAAGATCAAACTGAATAAAAACAGAATTACACAAACTAACAGCTCATTTAGTCGCTGGATCCATATACCTAGACAGCGATTCAATAAGCGTAAGTGCAGAACCGTTGTAGTCTTGAGGCAAGTGTTCAAGCTGCAAAAGTAAACAGTCATTTCCACAGTTCTCTGACTAATTTTCCTCTGGTGTTCTTAAATAGAGATGTCAATTACCTTCAAATTTCCCAACTCACTTAAGGAGTTGGTGAAAGTTTTAGTGAGGGGTTTTAGCTCGTCATGCTGCAATAGTATAACAAACTTAACATTGCACACTATAGCAAGTTAATAATAACAAATGATGAATAACAACATTAACTGACCGGAAATGCATACATCATATAGTTGTCATATGCGTGGTAAAACCTACAAACAGGAGAGCCATAAATCAACAACACTGACAATCATTTGTTGCCAAATGCCAGGGAAGAAATCACTACTCATCCTACTTCAAAGGTTATGATTATGACAATGCTTACCACCGATAATCTACAAAATTCATTATGAGTATAATTCAAGGATTGAAGTAGCAAAATATACAAAATAATCAATATGTTTTATACACCTTGGGAAAACTTGAACCTCAGTTTTCATATCGTGTTATTCCCTTACCAAATTTAGATAAATGAGCTAAGAATAGCTGAGAAAGGGATGAATCGATGGGAAAATGAAATGTGAAAGAGAGTAGGGAATGAGAAAGAATAATAAGCTATTTAAAATAAAAAATAGAGATTGGCAGATTAATCTACTGCCTCCCTCTCCCAGAGCACCGGCTCTAATTACAATCCAATAAAATGTTTGCAATAATTGCCCTCTCTAAAGCTACTTGGTTAAATTATAAATTATATTTATATAATATTATTTTATATACTATTTAATTATTATTATTATTATTATTATTTTATTAATACCAATTCAATTGAATCTTAAATCAGGAACTTATGATTAAAAAGATCGATATTAACTTTATTATGATTATGACACTATTAATTTTGTTATCGCAGGAGGGGGGCATTTCTGGGGTCTACTTTCTTTACGGAATTGTTATTTATTTATTTATTTTTTAATCCTATTGGCTGCGATAAGATTTTGAAAACCTAAGCCATGTACATATATCGTTCAATTTAACGCCTTTTTCTTCAAAACACTTTTATTGTTATTTAATTCAAGCATCGATTTACTCTTTTCTTTTACTAAGATATACTACCTGGTATGTATTAAATGGGAAGGATAAGAGCTGCATGGGGAAATAAATACAAAACTTTAAAGTATCAAATTAAATTTAAGGCATGTGTAATGGCAAAATACAATATTAAAAGTTATTAGCTCAAATAATTTGTTACTTATATTCTTTAATAAAACATTTGTACTCAATTTTCATCTTAAATATAGAATTGCAACTAAAAGTGTCATTTTACTCCTACAGGACCAAATTGGTGAGAAGAAATTATACATTTTTATTAAAAAAAAAACAAAAAAAAGAATGCCTCAGAATATGCGATCTAAACAAAACTGGTCAAATGTGTGTACCTACCAATTTACTCTAATCCTGGGTGCTAATTAATGGTTGACAAAGCTGCGATTGCATTTAAAATTTTGTATAATGTAATTTTCGCTTATAATTTCTGTTCCTAAAAAAATGCCTGTATCATATGATGAGCCATAGGCCACAATAACCAGCCATGCTACATGATCTTCTTCTGCATGTAGTGGCATCAACTCCACAATCTTCATCAGTCAAACACCTGTAATCACCACGGGCATCGGGGATGTGGCAAGCACTCTCAATATGTTGACCTGACTTTAAATTCATAGCAGGACATACTTGCAAAGACATTGCACTGATTCGATTCACTGTTGATCGCCTCTGCACAGTAAGATAAATACGCATTGTTATGGGGTTTTGTGTAGGTGAAGGACCACACAAATTGTTGAACCAAACCCCCCATATATTCCTAACAAGAAAAGTTTAGTTTTCTTTTCTAAGAGAAAAAAAATTAAGAAAACACTAGTATTTATCTTTTTATTGCCAGCGAAGAAAGATTCATAGAATTGTTGTCTCAACATCACATGCAAATGAAGAGGAAGAAATAGAAATCAAAATTTGTATATAAAGCCTCTAAACTTTGACCGATTAGCAAAGTGTCACCATGAACTCTAATTTTGTATAAATTAGTCCCTAAACTACGACAATTACACTAATAGATCCTTTCATCCACCTGTCATTATCTTACTAATGGAAGAGTACTAAAATAACAATATCTTTACCTCCCTAGGTGAGGTAACTGAGTACTTATATATAAAAGAAATTCTTCATTTTCATGTGCACATTTTGTTTGACATTTTTATCCCTTAGTATTTGTTATTTGTTAATTAAAGAATAAAATTAAAAAAAACTCACAAAAGTTTAAAACAAAATAATTATTAATGACTGTAAAACCATATTTGACGGTTTTTTCTATAAAAGTAGTAACATGTTTTACTTTTTTCACTTTTCTTTTCATTTTACATTTTACTTTTTTAAATATAGAAGCACGCAGTGTCATCTCTTCTAATAAATAATAACAAAGGAATCATAAGATAATTTCTAATTATTGATTCATCTCCGTGTGTATCAGATGGCAGAAATAGGTGAAGAGATAATGGGAATGATAAGAAGTTGCATAAAAAACATTAAATGTGGAAAGAAACTCAGACACAGCAAAACCGACTGAAAGTGATGGGGAAATAGTCGCTAGTCATTGTATTTGTGCTATGGTAGAATGGTAAGCTTATAAGTTTTCGGACAGAACATAGATGCAATTCCTTAGGTGTTTTTTTGTGTATTTCTCTAATCAAAATTGGAATTTCATATCAGAAATAAGTGTAACAAAGGGTTTCACTAAAGTCACCACATGTTACTGAGATAAAACTCTAACTTTAATGGAAAAACAACACAAAAAACTCTTTTAAGAAATTACATCTCAATTTTGTCCCAAATTTTTTATTTAATTTTTTAAAATTATAAGGTTCAAAATTTTGATAAAAGAATATTTTAAAGGATAGATCAATAAAACAATCAGGATGGGGGCTATGATTTTGCCACATCACAATTAGAGACTCAACAGCGGGTGGATAGAAGGTCTAATGGTGTAATTGGTGTAGTTTAGAGACTAATTGGGACACAGCTTTAAAGTTCATAGCGACGTTTTGAAAGTGAGGAAAAGTTCAGGGGACTTATACACACTTTCCCCATTTATCTATATAAAAAAAATCTATAATCAGAACGGTGAATTGCTAAAATACCTTCACGAAAGTCCAATTAGTTGGAATATAAGCTACAGGAAGCTCTTCATGCCAAGTGCTTAGTACCGGAAGGGGATGACCTTCAGTGGTAAATACGTAATTGTTCTCATGTACAAATGAATCGTCAAATAGAAGATATAAATATTTGCACCTGCAGAAAACACAGGATCACTACTCAGAAAAACTCAAATCCAACTATTGAGTGAAAAGATCTCATTTTTTAATTTTGTTTTGTTATTTTAAATTTTGCATGATACAAGAGGAATGAAAAGGTCTCACGTTTCAGCAAGAAAAAAACTATGTTGATGATCTTCCAATTGCATCGTTGTCACATCCTTAACACTTGCAAACCCTCCTTCAACTTTGGTGTATAAATTAAGGGAATTGACTATTGATTCACCGACTTCAATATACCATGGATCTGAAATTAACAGAGGTTAATGCGAAGAAGTGATGTGACTACAATATATCACTATTGGTCAGATAGGATTCTCTCTATTGACATTTGCAGAGATTAATCATTAAATTTAAAAGAGAATACATTTCATCAATAAAACTGAAATATTGTTATGATGTTGTGTTGATACAAAATACTAAGATAAAAAGCCAAGTACTAATGTAATACAACATGAACAAGTAAAGCCGCAGCTTATTTGATTTCAAGGATGCTATTTGCTAATAGATATCTTCTTAAATTTAAGAATCCGAGACCCTTTTTTATCACTGAAAGAAGTATTGACATGTGCACCAATCTTTGCAAGAGGGTGCTATTTTAGAAGCAGACGAACTTAACGCCTCGATATCAACAAACAGAAAGTACAAAGATAGAGGAACTATCAGACCTTTAGTAGCTTGATATAAGTAGAATGTTGACTCAGCCAATTCAGGACGTAATGGGTAATATTTTTCAGTAGGGTGAAGCATCTGGTGGTCCAGCAAATACCTTTACATGGATTTATGATTCAATGTGATATATTATATAGTACTGTAAGAACAAAAACCTGATGACAGATTGACGGCAAAATACAAAGAGACCAATGCTATAACGAAACTAGCACAATCAAAAAATACCTCTCTGGTAGCACACCAAATCTCTTCCACACATGGAAGAACTCACGGTGAGATGAATTAGCAGCGATAACATCCCCAACAAGAACCTGGTTTCCATAAGTTGTATAAACTCAGAAATATATCAAACCTAATTTTTACGAGTAAAAAATGCGAAGTCCGGCTACTAACCTGTAGGCCAGGCCAAAATGCTTGAAGGCTTGTAAGCTGCCAATAAGTTGCTCTTCCTGTTCTCATATCAGCTTCATGGTACCTGCAATAGGCCAATGAATCGGTTACAACTGTTGATCACATTCTCCCATCCATAGTTTTCACTTTTCAATTACAGTATAAACATACTGATACAGATAGCATAAAATAAAAACAAACACTTTTGAAGTTAGTGTGATACCAGGGACCATGTCTGAAATATTTCTGCACCGCAACATAAGCAGAATGAAACATTTTCCAAAAGTCCTCCTTCCCAAAAAGGATATGCGCTTTAAGTAGATACTCATAGAAGGAATCAACCCCTAGAATAATCCAGAAAAAAAAAAAATCCAACATAAGAAACATCAAGACCAGCCAATTAGCATTTGTAAGTTTAGATGTAACTAAAATTATCAAATATTTTCAACCGGCGCAGACAGTTAATTTCTAAAACCCCTAGAATAATCCAGGAACAAAATTCCAACATAAGAAACATTAAGGCCAGCCGATCAGCATTTGTAAGTTTAGATGTAACTAAAATTATCAAATATTTTCAACAGGAGCAAACAGGTAATTTTTTTTTTATATCTATGGACATAGTTCATGCAATGTTTTAAAGTTAATAATCAAAAACTAATCTTCGCTTGTAGGGTGTATTTTCAGTTGATCAAACATTATTCTAACACAAACGAGAATCGAACCTAAGAACACTAAATCAACCATTTCTATCTTAGGGCAAGCCTTACAACCACTGGGTCAAGAGGCATGATTGCAAACAATTCATTTCTAAAACCAACAGACGATAAACATGCAGATGATATGCTAATTTATCCAACGAACTGAAATATGGAAAATATCCCAGTTCAGAGTCAGAGCAAACCTACCAGCTCCAATTCCTGACGAATATTCAATCCATTGTCCA